TGCGGCGCTGGTGTACAAAGGAACGTTGGCAATATGCTTGTGAGCAATGCACGGAAAAATTTACGTCATACCCCCCCCTGTTTCAAGACGTACTTTTCATCGTCTAGGCCGGCGTTGGAACCTCTGCACGAAAAATCAGGAAAGTGAATAAAAGTCACATATACTGAAGAGCACAGGACTCATATATATTCCGGCTCCACTGACGGTGTTTCTCCCGAAGAACTCCGGGACACAAGCACAAGAATCGCGCAAATTGCTTGAAACGCGCAGAATTTATGCCTCGTCTCTGGTTCAGTAGGAGGTTCAAATGTCAATCCTACTTACTCGGGAAGGTTTAGGAGCTCAGCGAGAGCTTCTGTCGAAAGGAGCGGGCCAGTTGGCTCCACCGCTGGATTGTCCCTCTGGGCAATGCGGCGTTTCTGATTCAGTTGAAGAAGCTGTGCGGCGGACGTATTATGAGCCACTCCTCCTACTGCAAGGATAAGAGAAGCGAAAGGACAGATACACAAAGAAACACAATTATTGGCAATGATTCGAAACGACCAGTGATACTCCACTGCAGCCCTACGCATTGTACACATGTTGCAGATAAAGCCTGGACCATACCTAGTCGATCATACAGTTTTGCTTTCCTCTCCAAGTGGATCGATACAGTGTTGACGTCCCGAGTATTATTTATCCGGTCGAGTTCGTCAGCAGCATTCCTCAAGGTAACGCCTTCATTCTTGCCAGCTAACTGTCGCCCAATCCAATCTAATGGCTGCGATTCAGCATACAAAAAGTAGGAACAATGGTCTTTTCTCTATATAGTCAGGGCCTACTTGGTGTGCTCTCCCGCGAAGAAGGCGGCTAAACACCAGAAGCTGCAAAGGTCAAAGATCTGTTAGAAGCCAGTCCGGTTGGGGAGCGAATGGCAGCCCCCATTCGGCTCACCTTTTTCGATGGACGCGTCCATCTGCGGGAACACGGGGCATCATGCGTGAATACTCTACCTTCTTTGGCGGCCTCAACAAAGAGATATCGCTGCGCATCTAGTCGTTGTTGTAGACTCTCCCGCTGTTTCCTCACGATCGCCGACAGGCGAAGTTGAGACTGTTGAGAAACCCCCCGGAGAGGAACAGGCCGTTCAATGGCCAGTGCACTTTCAGTGAGCCAACCATAAGTAGAACTCATGCTTAACGGGACTGGCCTCTAGCATTCAGCCCAGAGCAGCAACAGCCACACACAGAGGTCCCCAGCTCACTTCGCCTTTGGATAAAGGTTTTAATGAGAAATGAGGTTCAACTAACGATTGTCTTTACCTGTCAAATTATTCCTCGGACATACAAGGGAGAGAGTGGGGGCCCCAACCAACGCGGTTTCTTCACATTCCAATTCCGCAGGTGAGGCCCCGTGGCAGGGGTTTGGTTTCAAGTCTGGAAGGCAGCTGCAAATACTAAAGTTGATTTCCGCGTACAACAGTAGTTTTAGCTAATGAAGTTCAATGTGTAGGAGGAAAATCTTCCGAAAGCTATTTCCCGTGAAACAACAGGGCTTGGGAAAAGCCCCAATCGGGCACTGACCGTGAAGCAGATTCAAAATAAGCATGCACCGTTTGTTAGTAGACGTTATATACCCAAACTCTTTCCGTATATTTAAATGGGCTATGGAGTTTTGTACGGCTCTTCAAAGGGACTGGCCATCATCGCGCATGTCCTACTCATACGCAGTGCCCGACACCCGGAAGCTTTGAGTCTTCCTAATTCTACTTTGCTGCATGCATTGATGCTTTTATCTATAGCGACAAAATACAGGGGCAGGGATGGCCTTAATATGTGTGAATAGAAGTATCCTTGGCTCGGGCCAGTGCAGCAGCTGCGCGATGTACTAACGTGCGGGCTTCAGGAGTTAAAACTCGTTCTAGCCCTTGAGGAGACCACAGCCAAACAACGCAGGAANCTCCTATCAACCGTCTGTATGCGTTCCCCTCCACTTCCCCGCGCTCATGACGGATTCTGACGAAGGGGCTTCGCAAGGAGACCTCTTAACTCAAGATAAGCAGGAAGGACAACTTGAGAGTTCAGATGCAGAGGGGAAAGATGGAGTGGGACAAATCGATGACCGTGTAGACTCCCAACAGGCACCGGCCTGCGCCGAACCAGACCTGCCTGACCAGGCCAGTGGGGGTGCGAGCGAGACCTCGGACAGCTTTGCCTCATCTGCCCCTGTAGAAGGGGCATCCACCGAAAATGCTGTCTGCACGCATAACACTTTGCCTGAGGCCCCGACAGCGGACGAAGGGGGCGAGCCTAGTGCTCAGCCGGAAGAGGATGACGCACCTGAGATATCAGCCGACATGATTGCTGCTGCAGCGGCCGCGTCCAACCCCGGCAGCGAACATAACCCGCTCGATAGGCCTGCTTCAACTGCGACAGATCCGTTAATGCCACAAATCATGGCGTCAGATATGCCTCCCCCCACCTTCTTACCGCGCCAATTACGCATGAAAAGTAAATTGGACAGGCCATCCTGACGCATCAAGCATCCACTGTTGTTCCCACAGCTTCTACGTCTGCCGTAACTCTGGTGTATGGCTTGCTCTTAGCACTAGATTTCGTTTCGATCGTTGCTGTGTTGCTTTCAGGGCATGCCAACAGAGCACGCGCACAAGCTACGTCGAATGCTTCGGTTACCAAAGCCCCCACTGCCGCGGTTGCGACGAGTGAAGAGGGAGGGAGACAAGAAGCGCATGCACCAGCTGACGATACACATGTTGCAGAAGGCGAACGCAGCAGTGTGGATGATGAATTCGCCCTTTTTATGAAGGAAATTCAACAGCTGGACAGTCAGAGGGAGGCCGAACAGCAGAACTCAAATCCAGATGATCCGGGTGCTGCTGTTACCGTGCCTCCAGCAGAGACGCCGGCAGATAACGAACAACCGTCAGGGGCAAATGTCAGCCCTCCCGCTTCTGAGAGTCCTCAGAACAGTGAAGACCATGGGATAGCAGTCACGGATAATCATGACCAGCAGCAACATCAGGAGGATGCGGCTGTCTGGCAGGCCGTTTTAGATTCTGCTTCTGGCAAGACCTACTACTGGAATGTAATAACTGATGAGGTTACCTGGGATGTGCCCGGGAGTTCTTCACGCCCGGTTGCTGTGCAGGAAGGAACGTATGACAAACAACATCAGCAGCAGGACCTGCGGCAATGGGCTGCATCCACATTTAGACTAACCCAGGAGCTTCCAACGTGCTCGGAGAAGGTCCAACAGCTCATGTTTCAGCTAGATTTCATGGAGGAAGAATTAGATGCAGAATACGAAAGCCCCGCGGCGGCTCAGGAAGCTGTTCCCAGTGAAAAGGCTGACGTCAGTCTGTGGCTGCAGCGATTCCGTTCCATGAGGCGGCAACGGGAGCCACAGCGGCCCAAACGATCACAAGAGGGGAGAGCTAGTGGCTCGGATGATGAATTACTGAAGGAATTGATAGACCTTCAACTTCAACAAGATCGGCGCACCGACCCTTCACAATGTCCGGCCTGCAAGCAGCGGCTGTTGGAGTCCAGAGGAACACAGTCTCAACAGGCAAAGGTACCCTAATTCTAAGGGCCTGCTGGTGATGGCTCTAATATCTATGCAACGGCAGAAACACACCATTGCTTAACAGCGAGTTAGCTTCCTCTTGCATATGCTCAATTTGGTGACCCATTCGCTCTGTGTACCTTCGGCAGGTTCGCTCGGTGGCGTCTTCGCTTGCACGACGTCTTGGAAATGTGGAGAAGGAATGGGCTTCAGCAATGCTCGCTGCCTTGAAGGCCCGGTTGGTGGGTTTCAGACCTTTTGAATGCCGCATAGAGAGGTTCTGAAGCCCAGTCCTGGCCCCGTGAGCTCATTCTGAAGAACTTTAACCTGAGACCCCATGGCTCCCCTTGTGTTTCATTTTTATGTTGGACATGCCTGCTGCAGGACGACTGGATAGATGGAGGCCTTAGCAGCAGTTTTTTCCTGAAGAGACTTGATAAAATGCAACAGGATTTCCAGGTATCANCTTGAAAGAGAGAACATGGATTTGTTGGTGTTGCCTCTGTCTTGCTGCAGAAGCATCTTGTTTACGACGTGGAGGCAGAAGGGCGCCATCAAGAACTAGCATCCGTGTTCCCGTATTCAACTGCGGCGGCAACTGCCTCGACCAGTGGAGCAGTAAAGGCGTCCCCTCGGAACTGCCTAGCTGGTTTGACGGGGGCACCTGCGTCGGACAAGGGCGGTACCGGCCGTTCCACAAGTGGCTCTAGAACCGCTGGTGCTGTGCCAAGAGGCAGCAGCAAATCCAGCGAAGAGTCGACGGCAGTCTGCACTGCCCCTCCTACCCCTGAAGGGCCCCCACCGACGCTTCCCGATGAAGTGCCTCCAGCAGCATCAGAAGCCGCAAAAGCGGGGGCAGTACCAGCAGCAGGTATGTCGCTGGTTGTGTTCAATACTTTGCAGACGGTCAACGACCCGTGGCTTATTCTACGTACAGACGTGGGTATTCGCCCAACAGCGCTTTCATATGCTTTTGCTGCGTTATCTGCGTGACTTTGGGGACCTCGGGACATTTAGTAGCCCGTTGGGCACATTTGCGAACTAGACACACATGATTAGCTTCATTCCAGCCAGCCATTTTTTCCCTAGCCTAGGCGTGGTGCGTGCTTAGCATTGACCCCCAAGGGACGGTGTTCCCGACGGGTTTTTGCTGAGTTATGCACCATCGAACGAGCTGCATAAACACAACAACCCCATGCGCCAAGTTCTGCCGAACCACAATGCCTTCCGCTGCGTAAACCATCAACAGGGCGGCTCGCGCATACAGCAGCTGCTGAAATCACTACGAGGCTAGTGGCCCTCAATGGCCGCCAGCTCTCTTCAGGGCGTGTCGCCACAAGGCGATGCAGCCCATCTGTATCGCAGGTCCTTGGAGTGTTCAGGCAGGTTCATGATGCAGTGCAGAGTCAGGTACTTGTGCAGTTGCTGACGTGCCACAAACAGAAGTTGCGGCTGCCCGCTCTTTGAACTTCAGGCGGCTGATTGACGCATCGCGTCTAAAAGACGGCATCACTGACATTCTTTTCTGTGCAATGTATTCCAGCGTCTACTTACATGTTTGGCGATCTGCAGATCTTCAGCGGCACCCAGAAGCAGATCCGAAGGCTCCTGCGGTCTCGCGGGAGGGAGCCCAAGGGTCCGGTGTGACTGTGGCACCTGCTAAGCGACCGCTCGGCAGCTCTGGCGTCAAAAAGATTAGTTCTTCCAATCCCCTTGTACGGAAACGCATGCAGCTGGTTGAAAAGTGGCAGAAAAGTCGAGAGAAGGATGAGGAATCCGAAGAGGAGGTCAGTCTGGGAACAGCTAGTCTCCTTACGAGCAGTTAGTTAATGCGCGCGGCCTTTGGGCTCATCAAGCTGCACTGCCAGTGTTATGTGCTATTTGTGCGCAGGACTACGACAAACGAAAAGAGCGGTTGAAGCAAAAGAAAATTGAAGAGTGGAAGGAGAGGGAAATGGCAAGGTCCGCTGTTTTACCTTTGTTTTGTATGGAAGGTCGCAGATTGTTTCTCCTTATTGCGACACTTGCATAGCAGGGTAGAGAGTGTCAAGGCGTCAGTGAAGCATTCATCTGCAGTGTCGTGGCAGCCGCTAGTTTTGTAGAGGCGCAACTGAGCGTCGACAGGTGCTATATTCTGTGTATCTGCAGTCACAGAGGGATGCAAAACGCGAATTTTATCGAAGTAACGACGGATTGGCGCACTTGGGTGCAAAAAAAATGAGTCCAAGCGCAGATGAACGACGGGGGGTCGCGCCGTGCATTACGCAGGCTTTGGCTGCATAGCAGTTTTGCACTGCAGGAACATTGACAGTCGTTTTAGTTGCTCTGTAGCTGGCAAGNCCGAGGCAAGTTTGATTTATTTGTCATGATTCTCCGCAAGGTTCAGGATCCTTACTTTGCATGGGCTAGTAGTCTTGGGTAGTCTTGGGTAGTTGTGAGCTAGAGAGGGAAACTACTCACTCGACTTAAGACACCTGCTGAGTGCTGTACAGCGCCAGACCTCAAGGCAACTAGCACTGCAGTCTTCAGAATCCATGGTCACCGGCTGCGCAGAAAGCACAAGCTAGCGAGGTCATTGATTCCACTGGAAATACAGTTTTCCAACGATTCGAAGCCAAGGGGTGCACGATTCAGATAGAAGTCCCAAGTTTCAGTAGGGTTTGGTGCAGCAACGGCTCAGGCAGGAGCAAGCACCGCTGTGCTGGCCAGAGAAATAGAATTTGTGACTTTGGGTGAAGAAATAGAAATTGCGCATGGTTGTGCATTCCTACCGACCACTTCATTCACGTACGTTCTGTCATCACCCACTTGTATCAATTCAAACTATTGGGCATCTGCAGAACTTCAACTTGCTGGCAGACAACCTGTACGGGGACAAAGCGGCTTCCCGTAGTTAAAGGCGTCGTTAGCAACCGATCAATCAGGAAGGAAGCAGCATACTTTGCGCCACCAAGTAGACTTTGTTCAGCACAGAGCTCACTGATTTAGTGAATTGGGCCAGGGCCCAGTCATCCGGGGACCAGTCCAGCAGAGGAGGCTTGCGCGCCGTGGACCCATAAGGAATGAAAATCATCGATAAGAGGAACGGGTCCAATGATCATATTCCGACTACTCTCGGCCTCCTCCTTTTTTGTGCCTGTAGCTTTGGTGATAGTGGAGAGAGTTCCTCTGGGTTCGGCTNGAACAAGCTGGGAGGGACTTGCGCTCGAACAGTTCTTTCAAACCCTTTACTCTGTGGCCACTCTGACTCTCTCAGCAAGTACCGGCACCGGCAACTCGACGTTATGGAAAAGTTGTTGGGGTAGCTATTGCTACGAGCGCAAGGCGTCTAAGGCTAAAAGTATTTCTTTCAAGCGAAAAAATGAAAATCCCACAAATTACGGAAAGTTCTAAGGACTCTCATGCATTCGAACTACTATGGCACACCAATTGGGTGTGGCACGGTTAAACGGGCGAAGGCTCCGCAAACCGACACTTGCAAGTAACTGGATGCGCTGACGAATCTCAAGGGCATGGCGCTATACGCCTTTTCCATGCAATTCTGTTGCCTCGAGAGTTGAATCCCAGGAGTTGAAACATAGATGGTGGCCGCAGCACAAAGTAATCAGTCGAAACGACAAGTTGTCAACCACTAGCGCCACGTGTACAGCATTCAATCGGGAAACGGCAAGTTTTTCACTTCGGCTGAGGAAGATAGTGGCTCTGGTCAGCGACCTCACAGCGGCATCGTAAAGCGGCGCATTCCACCAGAAGCNCTGAGGAAGATAGTGGCTCTGGTCAGCGACCTCACAGCGGCATCGTAAAGCGGCGCATTCCACCAGAAGCGCAGCGAGAGAAGCGTGGTTTAAACACTGTGTAGGATTTATACTTGACAAATGCTAAGGCGTCGCCCGCCTACCCCATATGATTTTCATCTCGCGTGCTTCTGCACGCAATTGCCCCCTTTCCGTCTTAGGCTAAATGTCTGGTGCATAGAACACTGATGGTGGGCAGAGTGGTTAATCCAAGAGCATTTGCTCGGAATAGAAACGACATTCGGGCGAAGAACCCCCGTGTGTATGATGCCCTGCACAGTACTAATGACCCAGCTGTAGTCTACTCGAGGGCTGTCGCAAGAAGAATCTATATCAGTATAGCCTTGGTTTGGCACTTGCGTAACCCAGTAAATGCGAACAACTAACCTCAAAATATTCCGCATAACTAGCCTGCTAAGCACCAGCAACTATCCCTACGTGGTAACGAACGGACTACTGACCTAGACGTTTTGTGAGTAAATGTAAAAAACTTAAACTTGAAAAGCTGACAGACAAAACTTGCCATGAACAGGACCAGCACAAACAGAAGCTGGAATGGAGTAGCTTCAGTGCTGGCCCGCGGAAGGAAGTGCGGGCGTTGAAGTCGAGTTCCTGAGTATATTCCCAGGGCTCAGTATGCTCGCTGCAAGCCAGTAGGGTTTTTAGCCAGAATACGCTGCTGTCTTTGATGGAGTGAGCTGTTGCCCATCCCACTTTGTGTCGCCAAGCACCTCTAGCACTTCCTTTCGAGGGTGCATAAAATAAGCAACCCTTTGATCTCGAAACGCGAACATTCTTCTTGTTTGGCAGGGCGCTTCACGCGTTCTCCTTTGTTCGCCGAGCTTGAAATTCCATAATGACCAAAGCTAGGAGGCGGGGCCTGCACGGATCCAAAAGCGAGGCACGTGCCGCCTGGGTATAATTCAGCTGGATACTGCAATAGAGAGCTGTATTCGAAGCTGGCGGAACGCGCTGCGCTCATCAGCTACGCACTTTGCAGAAGTGCAGCTACACTTACACAACGATAAGTGCAGCAAGCGCCCCTAAATCTGAAGCGCATGTTTCTCTTCTAATTCCGAACGTCCCCTTGAGGAACTGCGAGGATAACAGACACGCAACTAGACGAGCTGATGTGTCCGTTGCTCCTGAAGCATGCGCCCCCACCCCAGCTTGACGTCTTCCAAGATACCGGCTTTTTTGGAACTTACGTCGTCTCCAGAAACTCGCTCTCCACCTTCACCAATGAAGAACTCGTTCTCAAAAATTACCAAGCAAAATGCCGAGAGGGCATACTTAAATGGAGATAATGCCTGCAGCGGTTCATAGCCACACGCAATCGCGTAAAGATATATTGGATGAGGCGGGGTGCAAGTTCGGCGAGGAACTGCAGTATGCAGTATGCTTGCTCACCGCAACAACCTGTAAGAATGGGTTCAGCTGGTCGATCTGCGTCATGAATCCAGAAAACAGGGCTAGGACAACTTGGGCTACTTGCGTCACGGCAAGTGCGACGACCTCCTTCAAGCACCCAGCGCATCGTACAGAGAAAGAGCAGGTGGCGTACAACGAACACATAGCCTTGAAACAGTTCAGAAGGGAAGAGTTGATCGATATGCGCCCGCCAACTGGTATCACGCGGGATAAAGTAGGTCTACATTTCGTTGTTCATGTGTTAATCAATACGCATGCTGAAAAACCCTCGACAAACGTTGTCGCAGCTGCAACCATCTAACCTTAGCAACACGCCCTTGCCTGAAACGAACTTCAGGGCATGTCGTGCAATCCTGCTTCTTTGCGAAGAAGGCGTCAAGAATACTTACATCGGTCACTATTGCCGATATGAAGTAGCCGTATGACTGGAGAGATAAAACCGAAAGTAGCAGTACGCCTAAAGAAGCGAAGAACTTCGTTGCTGTTGCAGCCAGACCCATTATCCAGAAGGTGATCCTGGTGTCAATAAGGGGGGACACATGTACGAAGTAGGCACAAATGTGGACATTTCCCCCGAGAAAGCCACGCTGAGAGATGGCTGCATAATTAACCTTGACGGCTGGCCAACCTTACGTGTGGAATATGATGGGAAAAACCAGAAATAATATGGTGTCGCTGGTTGACGTCCCGATGAAGTATACCCACATGCGCAGGACACCTGCAAATGCAGCAAAAGCACTTCTCACTTGTGGTGTAAATCTAAGAAGCACACACCGCGTCAGCGGCTTCATTCCCCTTTGACATGGGCACGATCGCTGCATTTACACAGCGATACAAGCTCAGAAGTGCCGAGCCTAGTTTANCCCCTTTGACATGGGCACGATCGCTGCATTTACACAGCGATACAAGCTCAGAAGTGCCGAGCCTAGTTTACTGCGGCTTCAAATCCGTCAAGGTATCTGTAGGGGCCAACAAGGTCATCACAACCCTACCTGATTCATACTCCCTCTGTGCCACAGGCCGGGCTTGGGGGAAAAGGTTGGCAACAGCAAAGATGCAGGCCAGGGACTGAGCACAAAAGGTCGAACAGTCAGCATCAACCAATCGAACGCTGGCATGAAATAGTGCGTGCAAAAGGAGATGGCATTGGCACACCTGGGTCAAGACGATCTGGTAGCAAGCCGAGACACGATTCCACGCATCGCTCAGACTCCATCCCATCCTGAGACATAAAGGTAGCCTGCCTAAACTAAACGCAACTTCAGCTAAACTTGGTGCGCTGCAGCCATGGTGTATTGTAGGGGAACGAACGAGCAGTTTAGAGTCGCATTGCCTACAAATAACGTCGTGCCTCTGTCGAGCTCACTGGAAGAATATAAATGACGGCAGAAGTGCTGTTACCAGGGTGACTGCCAAACGAGCATAAGAGCTAGATGGGTCCCTCCACCGCAGTAACAGCCCTCGCCTTGTCAGGATCACGGCCTCAGTCAACGCTGAAATGCGTTCGCTTTTCCGCGCCTTTCTTGTACGGCCTACGGACGTAAGGGCATGAACCACGTCGCCCTGAGCCGAAGTTGCATTGTTAGGCCTACAGCCTTGCCCGGTGGTGCCATCCCGCACGGAAACTTCCCTCGACCGGAGGCATTCAGATTCCGATTCGCTGGGGGTCCTGCGGTGGCACAGCGCAGTCACCTGATGCAATCGTTAATCTTTGTGAATGATGGTACTTTAAATTATCGTGTTTTATTTGGTACTTGGCGC